TTCCCTGCACCCCCATCTGCCCACCCAGGGCAGACCCCTGCACCCCGCACTGCAGGTGCATCCCCCTGCACCCTGTTTGCAGCACCCAGGATGTCGCACCCCCAAGGTTGGCATGTCCATGTCCCTCTATCTGTGACCAAGCTGGCACGTCCCTGTGTCTGTCACCTGGGTGGCATGTACTTCTGGGTGGCATGACCAAGCTGGCACGTCCATCTGTGTGTCCATGACCAGACTGTCATGTCCCTTTGTCTGTGACCAGTGTGGCACATCTGTGACCAGGGTGGCATGTCTGTGACCAGTATGACATGTCTTGCATGTCCATGACCAGGCTGGCATGTCCCTCTGTCTGTGACCAGGGTGGCATATCTGTGACCAGGGTGACATGTCCGTGACCAGTCTGGCACGTCCGTGCTTGGCTGGCCCCTCCCTCTTCATGCCTGTCCCTGCCCTGCGTCCCCTGCCCTGTCCACCCCGGTGTCCCTGCACTGCCAGCCTGCCTGGCACCCTGGGAGCCACTTCCTGCCACCCTGGGCACGGTGACACACAGGTGTGGTGGCCCTGCAGCCAGGTGGGAAGCAGGGGAAGCAGCTTGCCCAGAGCGCCGTGGGGTGGACGGGCACCGAGTGCCCCCCGGGGTGATGACAGGGACGGGGTGACATGGTGCCAAGGGGGTCCCTGTCCCCGGCCACAGGTGCTGCGAGTGCGGGGCCTCCCTGTCCCACCAGTACTACGAGAAGGATGGACGCCTGTACTGCAAGAAGGATTACTGGGCGCGCTTTGGGGAGCTCTGCCACGGCTGCTCTGAGCAGATCACCAAGGGTCTGGTCATGGTGAGCACTGGGGAGGGGGACCTGGGGGGCACAGGGAGCCCTGACCCACGGCTGAGCTCCCTGGAAAGGGGGTGTGAGGTGGGGAGGGGGTGCAGACCCCCAACGTAGGTTGGACTCTGGGGGTGGCAGGGGGGTCTCCTGTGTTTTAGGGGGACCCTGGGGGGGCTGCGCCCCCGCGCTTGGGGGGA